GGAGGGTGGCACGGGGCTGTTTTTTGGGGTGTTCCTTTTGGACTCGGGACGAGGGTCTGGCAGTGGTAGCGGCCGGGGGTCTGCGTGCCTAATGGAGGCCGTCTTCTCTCGACTCCCTTTTCTCCTTTTTGTTCCCCTCTCCCACGCCATGGCTGCCCGCCTTTCCCCCACGCTGGTGCTGGACGAGGCCTCGGAGAGCGGCTCAGAGCCGGAGCTCAGGGGAAAGATGGCGAAAACACCCTGAGCGAGGCTGAAGGTTCCGGGGGAGGCGTCGCAGAGCGAGGAGGAGGAGGAAGACGGGGTCCGAGTGCCACTGCCAGCGGTGTCCCTGCGATCTTCTCACTGCTGCAGCAGCGCCTGGTGGAAGGCGTGGGGTGGCTGTGGCGGAGGCACTGGAGTGGAGTTTGAGTGGGTCCGTGCAGCTGCTGGAAGGCCTCCAGGAGCTGCCAGAGCTGAGGAGGCTGCCTGTCGTGTGAAAACAAAATATAGTAGAAAATTGGTGTGAAGGTTCAACCTTTACTGCTTTCCCACCAATGTCCAGCTCTGTTGTGTGCAAACAGGAGGCATTACCTTTGGAGCAGTCCTCATTAAATGCATAGTATACGTAATGTATACAGGTAACATAACAATTTTTTTTTAATGATTTTTTATTATAAGGTATAAAAACGAAAGTAACAATAATATAAAACTAGTGGGATATGTGACCTTGTTGTGAAAGTAACGTATCGGTCTGATTCAGTGGCAGTGCTTTTAATTCTCAGTGAGTTGTCAAGGTGTTAGTCAGAAATTCATGATGAAATTTTACTCTTCCTGTGCTTCATCCTTGAAAACACTTGTTCACAAATGTGCGTACAGCCAAACAGCAGTGACATGAGTATGGTGTGACTGTGAAACAAGGAGTGTTTCTCTCTGGTCAGAGAGGGCTTATCCAAGTCTGGTAAAGAGACATGATCAGATTTTTGATTGCAATTTTATAGAATCTGCTTGCAAATCCACAGGGAAAGTATTTACGTCAATAGAAAATGGAGTCACAAATAAACTAGTGGATCTTGTTAGGCAGTTGTGTTGAAACCTATTCTCACATTCCTTTATTACAAAGAAAAACATGGCTGCATCTTTCTTGCTTCTCACAGGACTGTAAGCCAATGTAATGAAGTACATAAACTGGTTTGCCATAACTGAGCTGGCACTGCACTGTGCCCTCCCTGTCCCTGGTTTCAGTCCAGATCGGGTTAATAGCACACTGATGAAAGGAGCTGGCTGCATTGCAGTGCAGGCTGTGCTGGGCCACGGTTTGGACGTGGCTGTTCTAAACAGCTTGATGTCTGCCATCCAGAAGTCCAGAATGGCGGTTTTTCTGACCCCCCTGTATCCCACACAGACTATATATAAGCACTTGGAAGATCCACCCCTTGGAGGCCCTAACTTTCACGTAGACCCTATGACAAATGAAAGCCCCATCTTATTGATAACCTGGATCTTGCGGATACCCTATCCTCCATGGGGACACCATAACCCTTGGAGACTGGCCCCACTGACAATCTATACCTCACGAAGACCCTATACCCGATGGAGACCACATAATCTTATGTAGAACTCACCTCCTCAGGCCCCACTCTGTCAGATCCAGCCCCCAGCCTCGCAGCTTGGGCCCAAAATGGCTAATATCCCAGATGACTTGTGTATCATGGACATTACCACCTCCCACTCCCTTGAGGCCAACACAACAGAGGAATTAGGTCAATAAGCATTTGATACTGTCAGAATTTGGCACTTTTAATGTGGATCTTCTCACACTGTTGGAGGTTATTATTGGAGGGATAATTCCTAGCCCTGGTGTGTTTGGGAATTACAAGAACTGAATGGCTGAACCACAAAGGTCAATTTAAATGAAATGAGTTAAATCATAGAATCATGATGATAGGGAAAATTGTTCCTGTACACTTCTTTACCTCTGGAAGCAATTGCTGCTAATACATTGCTCCCAGAATCCACTGAAGAAAAGTGAAAAGGAAAAACAATGTGTTCACAGTCTCAAAGTTGTCCACCGAGGACAGAAAAGTGGAAAAAATTGACACAAATATAGGAAGAATGAGAGAAAAGGGAACAATTCAGCCCCAAGTGTGTCAAAAGTGATAATATTCTGGTGTCAGCAAGGAAGGGAAATTGCCCTGAAATTGGTCTTTAGGCTCATTAAGGGCTAATTACTTGATAAAGCATGTATTATCAGTATGAAAATGAGATTGTAATGAGAGAATCTTCCAGTCCCAGAAAAAGCAAGCCCAGAAAAGATGAAATCAAGTACCCAATTAGAAACTATAAAAAGAGATCACATGTATGATCCATGTAGGAATAACTGTGCTTCTATCTTGGGTGGTGCTGCCTCAGCAAAAGATTGCCAAGCTCCTTGTTCTGCAGAATTAAGATGGAAACTTCTGAGAAGGTTGTGACTCTGTGTGCTGGCACACCAGCATGAACCTGGTCCCTGATGGGGATAACAGGATGGTTCTGGGGTCAGTGCTGTGGCAACAGAGACTAAGGGGGTGTTAAGGAGGATCTCCTGCAGGTTGGTTGGGTTAAAGACAGCCCAAGTTCAGGGCTCCCTGAGTCATTTAGAGCCCATCCAGGGGCTCATCTTCCCCAAGGCGTCCATGAGCTGAGCTCACTCAGAACCTGAGATGGTTTTCACTGTCCCTGCAGGTCCTGGATGAGATGACTGTTGGTATCCTTCAGAGCATCCAGGAACAGATCCTTGCAGGTGACATCCCAGCTGGGCATGAAGCTGTAGAGAAGCCGCATCTGCTCCTGCACGGTGGGCATTGCTCGGATGCTCTGGTACTGCTCATTGCTCAGGACGTGCCCATAGAGCCGGTCCAGCACAGTGCTGACAGATGTCACACGTTGGATCAGCTGCTCTCGGTGCTGCTCCACAAAATGCAGCCCTGCTACAGTAGAAGGGTGAGTGATTGGGTGCTGCTGCTAAGTAGGAAATATCCCGCCTTCGGTAAGACTGAAGGACCCTTATTACTGCTTCTTGTTCTCCCTTGGCATGGCAGATTAAGCCATCTCATATCTCCCACCTCTGCCAAGACTTTGCACAAGTGAACAGCCCAAAGAGAGAACTCATCCCAGTCCTCACCTCAATCTCTATCTAGGTTTCTGAAGTATTCTTTCTGATTTGACATCATGGCCACATGACCTTCCCCTCTAGCTCTCTAGGGTACGTTAGGGAGAACAAAGAAATTCTCTCTCCCCATTGGTTTGACTAAGACCTGGACCTCCAGGCCAAGCCCACTCACCCTAAAGGAAGAACATACCTGAGTACGAAGGAGGAGAAGAGGCAGCTGGAGGGTCAATGTCCCCTGGAGAAGAGCAAAAAGGAGAGTGGAGGGTACAGATTGAAAAAAGGAGGCTTAGACACACACCCTGACAGATGTCAGCCACCCCTGCTCCCTTCCCAAACTTGAGGCTTCATTTCAGGCCTCACTGAACCAGTGCTGCATCATGTCCTTCCTACCTGCCCTCAGGAAGGCAGCCCACAGTGGGTCACACTCCTTTTCACCCTCCTGGGCAACCTTCGTCAAAGAGAGCTGCATTCCCTCCTGGAGGTCTTTGTTGTAGATCTCGGTGTGGAGCTGGCGGCTGTCTGATGTCAGGTAGACGAATTTCAGCTCCTGGCAGATGCAGGTTAGTGTGTCAGCGCACTGCCATCCTTCATAGCAGTTGTGAGGCACATGGCCCAACTTACTTTAGGGTTTATCTCTGCCTGTGAAGGACCAGATACGCGGTACCATGTGTTAAAGTTCAGTGGTCGTTTAGTCTGGGGAGGTTTGTTCACCAAGAGTGAATGGCCTCGTCTCTTCTCATCCTTGTCCACCACCTGCAAAAAGATTGCACATTGACCATGGGAAGAAATGATGATGGGAGAAGTGACTGAAAAGCAAGGAGATAAAGTGAGTAGGAAGAGCTACAAGGAGATCTGGTGAGCAGGATTAGCATCGTGACTTGGGGGAGCCTTTTTGCCAAAGGCTTGCACCACATGAACCCAATCTCTCCATGGAGGAACCCATCTCTTGACTGCACAAACATGACCATCTTGAGAGCCACAAAATCAAATATGGAATCAGAGCTGCACTCACCTTTTCCAGGCCATGGTTGTTGGGGATGAGGTAGAGGTGAAGGGTGATGTCGGCAGCCCTGATGACACGGTAGAGCAGCACAAGGGAGTGCACGGGGATGAAGGGGAATGCGGCAGAAAGCAAGATGACTCCCATGGGGGAGAAACTGGGGTCCCTCAACTCTGCATGGAATGGCTTCACTGCATCAGGCTTCTCCAGGAGGAGGTTCCCATTGATGACATGGCCGATACGCATCTCAGATGTGTTCACATTTCCCTCTGTGAATGGTCAAAATGTGTCACAGATCAAATTGCCCTACTGGGGAGTGTTGATGTTCCCCCAGGGCTGTTTCAGCCACCACGCCATTATCCTCACTGCATTACCTGTGAGACACAAGAAATGAGGGAGATGAATGGCCTCAACAGCACCCAGGATAGCATGGATGTCGAACACCGGTCCAGCCTCCATCCATCCAGCGGGGATCCCATCAGGCAGGTGACGTTCCCAGAAGGAGTACTCGTACTCAACAGTGGTGGCTGTCCTCACCAGGAACTTGAGCTCTGTCTCAGCACAGCGGAAGAAACCGGCCCGAGGGAAATGAGCTCTGTGCAGCATGGAAGGAGAGCAGAAAGACTGTCAGGCTGGACACCTGGCTGTGGGATCACCCTGCCTTCTGTTGGCCACTTCTCAGGACAGGGCAGTACCAGCCACCACATGCTCACCTGTATGTCTCTTTCTTGCCTTCTCTGCCTCCAGTAATCTCTGGCTTCACTTCTTCTGCCCTGTCATCCTGAAGAAGCATAGAAGCACAGACATGTTTAGGCTCAGTGTTGGAGACAATTCTGCTTAACGAAGTCCTCATCTCTGGAGGGATATAAGAGAAGTGTGGATGAGGCACTCAGGGAAGTGTATAGTGCTGGACTTGTTGTGTTAGGTGATATTTGGACTTGATCTTATGACTTTTTTTCCAGCCTACATGATTCCATGAATTCTGTGATTCTGCCATTCTATGAATCTATGGTTCTTTGATTCTATAACTCCATGTTCAGACAGGTTAATGGTTGGACCTGATGACCTGAGAGGTCTCTTCCAACCTTAATGATTCTAGAATCGTATGACACAGTCCAAACCCTCCAGCAGGGCCACCCAGAGCAGGTTTCCCAGGCCCATGTCCAGCTGGCTTTTGAAGAACCTCAGAGAAGGAACTCTAGAACCTCTCTGGGCAACCCAGTGCTCTCAGGCTTTCTTCATGGCAGAAATGCTCCAGGCCCTGAATCCCTGGTGAGAAATACCAGAGAGGGAAGCATGCAAGGGCGGCCCAAAAAACCTCTCTGAAAAGAGCAGGAGAGCCCAGAACCTTACCTCTTGCCAGGGACATGCCATGCATTTGGCACCTGAGCGAATCCCACTCTCACTCTCCATCTTTGGAGGCTCATGTTCTGGAGGTGTACACGGTGTGAGCAGATTTTGATTTCCCATTAGTTTTCTCCAGTTTGTGTCTGTTCTCTCAGATGTTGCTGTAAAGTAACACAGAGTTATCTCCTGTATCTCTCCATCCCCAGAATCTGCAGTGGCCTCTTCCCCTCCATTCTGTCCTTGCATTTCCATCATTATCATAGAATCTCAGAATCGTTTGAATTGGAAGAATCCCTTAAAGGTTACCTAGTCCAAATCCCCTGCCATGAACAGGGACATCTGCAGCTAGATCAGGTTGCTCAGTTCAATCTGACCTTCATTGTCTTCAAGAATGGGACATCACCTGCTCCCTGGGCAACCTGTGCCAGTGCCTCACCACCCTTAGTGTAAAAAAATTCTTCCTTATACGGAATCTAAATCTTCCCTCCAATAGTTTGAAACTATTTCTCCTTGTCCTGTCACAGCAGACTCTGATCAAGATCAAAGCAGCTCCTAACAAGAGAAATACATTTGGGCAAAAGGATGAGGAACTTGCTTTGGCCTTTGAAAACTGTAGAATCACAGAGTGTCATCTTGCAGTGCTGAATGCATAACTGATGGAGGGGAAGCAAATGGCAAGGACTGTCTGGACTCTTGTACATCTCACTGCACAGATTGGAATAGGAAGGGACACTGGGAGGGTGATGTCGTTCAGCAAAGGAGTGACAGTGCTGAGCAGATCAGAGCTCACCTGCTTCTTCTATCCCACCCGGATAGCTCACAGAACTGGACAGGCAGATCTCTGCAGAGAGAGGAGACCAGTGTGAGGTTGACATGTGCAGGGTGAAGTGATTGTCTTGATTTCCTAGGGGAAGGCTCCTTAGGGCAGAGCAAAGCAACTCCTAACAAGAGAAATGCATTTGGGCAACAGGAGGAGGGAGTTGCTTTGGCCTGCAAGAACCATAGAGTGTCATCTTGCAGTTCTGAGAGCATAGCTCACAGAGGGGAATCAAAGGCCAAAGACTCTATGAATCCATGTCCATCTTACTGCGCAGATTGGAATGGGAGGGGACACTGGAAGGGTGATGTAGTTCAGCAAAGGAGTGACAGTGCTGAGCAGATCAGAGCTCACCTGGTACTTCGATCCCACCTGGATAGCTCACACAACTGGACAGGCAGGTCTCTGCGGAGAGAGGAGACCAGTGTGAAGTTGACGTGTGCAGGGTGAAGCGATTGTCTTGATTTCCTAGGGGAAGGCTCCTTGGGGCAGAGCAAAGCAGCTCCTTATAAGAGCGATGCAGTGTGTGGAGACAGGAGAAGGGGAAACGGCCAGAAACTGCAGCATAGGAAGTTCTGCACAAATGTGCGCAAGAACTTTAGGTGAGGTGATGGAGCACTGGAACAGGCTGCCCAGGGAGGTTGTGGAGTCTCCTTCTCTGGAGATATTCAAGACCCGCCTGGATGCCTGCTTGTGCGACCTGGTGTAGGGAACCTGCTTTGGCAGGGGGGTTGGACTCGATGATCTCTGCAGGTCCCTTCCAACCCCCAAGATTCTGTGATTCTGTGAAATGGATTTGGGCAACAGGAGGAGGGAGTTGCTTTGGCCTGCAAGAACCATAGAACCATAGAGTGTCATCCTGCATTGCTGAGTGCATAGCTCAGGGAGGGGAACCAAAGGATAAAGACTGTATGAATCCTCTTACATCTTACTGCACAGATTGGGACTGGAGGGGACACTGGAAAGGTGATGCAGCTCTGCAAAGGGATGACAGTGCCAAGTAGTTCAGAGCTTACCTGGCATTTCCATCCCACTTGGATATGTCACAGGACCGGTCCAGGAGATATCTGCAGGAGAGAGGAGACAGTGGTGAGGTGCAGATGTGCAGGGTGACCTGAGTACATTGATGCCTTTTGAAAGTCTCACTGGGGAAGAGCAACATAGCTCCTAACTGAAAGAAGTGCATTTGAGCAACAGGAGGAGGAACTTGCTGTGGAATGTGAGAGTAAAAGAGAATGGCATCCTGCAGCACTGAGTGCATAGCTCAGGGAGAAGAAACAAAAGCTGAGGACAGCCTGGATCCTTGTCCATCTTAGAAGGGATTACTGCATAGACTGGGAAGGGAGGGGATGTTGGGAGGGTGATGTAGTTCAGCAAAGAGTGACAGTGCTTAGCAGCTCAGAGCTCACCTTGTTCTTCAATCCCACCTTCTTCAAAGCATGATTCAACCCTGGTATCTGCTGCAGAGATTATACAGTGGTGAATAAATGTAGGATTAAAGATCCACTTCAGCAGTCATGAAGCTCAAAGCATGCATCTTTCTCAGGTGCTCTTAACATTCTCTCCCACATGTCTGCTGCTATTGAGCACCAGCTCCCATAGAAATGTCTCCTGTCCAACCCAAGGACAAAGGCACACAGATGTGCCTATGTTCCCCCCATTCTGCTGAAGGCTTGGCCTCTCTTTGGACATATTTCCCAGCTGGGAAGATTATCAGAGTACATTCTTACCTACATATTGCAAGAAGATGGAGGGATTATTTCTCATCAGTACATCATACAGGCAATATTTGGCGGTGACATCCCATGCTGGCACCAGTTCATAGAGCTTCTGCATTCTATTCAGGTTGGTGTTCTCTGCCATGATGCTGTCATGCTGCTCAGAGCTCAGCACACCTTCCTGGAGGAGTTCCTTCATGGTCCCATCCACGTTATAGACTTTCTGGATTAAGAGGTCACTGCTCCATTCAACAAACCTTGCCCCTTGCAGAGAAGAGGAGGAGGAATTTGGTGATTTGGTGACTCAGTGCTGCTGTGGCCCATTCCTGGACCTCATCTCCCTCAGCTCACCCTCGTTCAGCTTGTCCAGGAGATCATTGGCCAGGGCCATCCATCCCATGGCCCACAAAACACCTGCTGCCACCTCCACGCAGTGGGACTGCCCAAAGTGGCTGTACAGCAAGCTGGCGAGCGCTGCTGGCGACAGATCCATCACACTCTCCAGCTCAATGCACTCGTACCCCTCCTTAGGCTGGATCTTGCTGAGTTCAGTCTTGAACTCTGTGAGAGCATGCTTCTCCAGTTGCTCAAGGGTGTACCACAGGAGTTCGGCCACTGCATTCTCCTTACTGCCTCCTGATGCCATTGTTCACCACAGTGCTGCTGCAGAGAGGTGCTTGCAGTGAAGAGGCTTCTTTACAGCAGGAGCCTTTCAGGATATTCGGGACTCTCACCTGATCCAACGGGAACAAGAACTTTCTTCTGGGAATTCCTCCAGAATGATTGCTTACCATGCTGTAGTTACAATAGGAGCTTTCATGAAAATGTTAGAGGCAAGAGCAAACAGCTGTTAGACTCTTCATCAAAGATCGCTCCTGAACCATTTGGTGAAAAGTGAGAACCTGGGTCTGAATGACATTTATGTTGTGTTTGCTTTGTTTACAGTTAGTGTAATTTGATAATTTATCATAATCCAACAGATGGTATTCCGCCTGGCAATGCTAAAGGATCACCTAAAGCCCAATAATTTTAAATGGTTAATTATACATACAATTTAATTTCAGAGCTTAAGTTGTTTAAAGGAACTGTCTGCATCACATCAAGCCAAGCCAAAGTATTTACAATAGCTGCTTCAATTTCAACAGTTCCTAACCCTGAAACGTGTGTACAAAGCAGTGGAGTTTTGTTGCTCTGTCACAGTCGCTGTTTAATCATCAATGTGGAAACAATTATTTCCCACTGCATTCCTTCCAGCTCCCCCAGATGTTTCTGTTCCAGCCACTCTCACGCACAGCTGTGCACACCCTCGTGGGCTTACAGGGCATTGGGATTGCCATGAGCCACTGCTTATCCCACTTTGGAATCGCTGGCAGGTATGAGGACAGATCTCAGGGCTCTGGTTACAAGCTGAGTGTCAGAAATACATAAACATTCTAGCAAGCAGCACTGTTTACCTTTACCTACAACTTCTAGCATTTAGCATAGCTTGCTGTTGCACAAAACTTCTAGCAATTAGCACAGCCTTTTTACTATCTAGAATCCTTAGCTCCCCCGAATTTTCACTCACCTAGACCCTCAGAGATTAGCTGTTCATCAGCATGCGACGCAGAATTTATCACCTAGACTCAGACTTCACGGGATCATGAGTTGCTCATTCAATCCTCAGAGGAGGAAGATGAAGGTGAAAGCATCCCCGGGCGCAGAGAGACCATAGGCTTTGCAGCAGCTGCGGTCTGAGCCCCACTTAGAGTGTTCTGCTGCTGAATGTTCTGCTGCTGGATGTTATGGGTAATTTTGCTTTCACTTCTGGTCTTTGAGCATTCTTACGGGAAGAACTCTGCTGCCTGCAGGATCCTGATCCAAAAGGAGTGTTCTCAGAGCTGGATGACACAATGGAGGGGAAGGAACTGGAGTGACACATGAGGGGTTGTTTCTGTGCATAGCTTTGTGCACTGGTGTGGAATCAAGAAATCAGAAAATCTAGAGTCAGAGAATCAGAATACAATAGCAACTTCAAAAAAAATTGCTCGAGTGCTGTGCTTTAAAGCACACAGGCTGTTGGAATGCTGAAGGATAGAACTCCATCCTCATAGAGAGCACACTCCCAAATTTCTGCATGTAAAGTAGTGTGTTTGTTGTTGTATTTTAACTTTAGCCTCCATGTTTTTGCTGCAAGTGAAATTTTTGAATATATGCTCGGTGTGGAAAAAGAAGACAGATCAATTGCAGGAAACTGCAAAATGAGGTAATTTTATGTTTCTCCCATGGAGTATTAGCATTGCAATGTGCAAGTCTATGAAGTCAGACTCCCTGGGATGCTCTTTTTGTTTGTGTAGTGCATGTGAACACTCTTTCTTCCATGAATCACACCAAAGGATGTGGGAATACAAGAAAAACTGTTCAGAGTTCAGCAGCTGGAAAAACTGTTCAGAGCAGCAGCTGTGGAGCAAAATAAGCAGCATGAGAACCAAGGGCACCTTTAGAAGAAGCAAGAACGTCTCTCGGCTCTGACTGGATAAGCGCCAGTACAAGCACTACAATAAAGTAGACTAACAGCTTTTAACCATGTTGGTGTCCTGTTGTGTCTCTGACTGCGTTCCTGAGAGTCCAGAGACTTCCCCACAAAAGGAGGTTTTGTGAAGGGCACGGTGGTCTTGGATTCCTTTCAGGAAGATTATAAACCTCAGTTCCCTCCCTGTATTAAATTCAGTATTAGAAATAGAATTTAAAATACATCTTTTGAGGAAGTAAACCTCTGAACACTTGTAACTTGCAGTGCTTTGATTTTTGAGATAACCCATTCTATAAGCAGTGCTGAGTGATGCTGTTTAATGCCATCAGTTGTGAGCTTGCTCCCTGCAAAACTTCCCTCTGAGGGAGCAAGGAAGCAAAATGTGGTTTTGTGCCCACCAAGTCCTGTTAATGCTGATTTGCTTCTGCCCAGCACAAAATTAGGACTGCAAAGGTGTTGTAAGGCCACACAGGGAGAAATTAGAAGGGCAAAGCACAGCTGGAGCTTCATCTGCCTTCTGCCATTAAGGACAATTAAAAATGCTGTTCTAAATATATGAGCAGATGAAGGAGGACACAGGAGAATTCTCATCCTTTATGAGATGTGGGGGAAATGCAGGGAAGGAAAGGATGAGGTCCTTAGTGCTTGCTTGCCTGAGTCAAGTTCTGTGAGGATTCTACAATTCCTTGATTTCGGAGTACTTCAAGGGCAATTAAGGGTAATTTTTTTCCTCCATTCTATCACAGTGCTATGTATTTTGACTGTATTTTTAAGATTGTAGATGCTATGATGTTTCCACAGTCATTCAGTACTTCTAGATTCTCCTATTCTATGATTCACAGAATCACAGAATTGGAAGGGACCTAAGAGATCATTGAGTCCAACCCCCCTGCTAAAGTAGGTTCTATACAACAGGTTGCACAGGTAGGCATCAGGATGGATCTTGAATACTATCAGAGAAGGAGACTCCACAACCTCTCTGAGCAACCTGTTCTGGTGCTTCATTACACAGCTTCTTTCACATGTCTGTGTGGAACTCCTTATGTTCAAGTTTTAAGCCACTGCTCCTTGTCCTACCACTACACACCAAGAAGAGCCTGGCCCCTACCATTTGCCTCCCACCTCCCTTTAAATATTTATGAACATTCATCAGAACCCTCCTCAGTCTTCTTCTCCCCAGGCTGAACAGCCCAAGGTCAACCAGCTTTTCCTCATATGGGAGATGCTCCAGGCCCTTTATCATCTTTGTCACCCTCTGATGAACTCCTTCTAGGAGATCCCTGTCTTCTTTGAACAGGGAGCCCAGAGCTAGTCATGCTCTTCTAAATGTGGCCTCCCGAGGGTACAGTAGAGGGGTAGGATCACCTCCCTTGTCCTGCTGGCCACGCTCCTTTTAATGCACCCCAGGATGCCATTGGCCTTCTTGACCACCAGAGCACACTGCTGACTCATGGCCAACCTGTCATCCACACCCCAGGTCCTTCTCCACAGGGCTCCTCTGCAGCAGCTCATGCCCCAACCTGTATAGAAACAAGTGTGAGAAATACCCAGCTTCAATAATGTTTGTTCAGGCAAAGATTTCAGTGAAGCAGCAAAGTTTTTTTTTATTTGTTGCAACAACAGGCATGCACCCCCTCCTAACCAGGGAGAAAACGCGCACTGGATCAGTGAAACACTTCTCATTATATATCCTTTTCTCCCATCAGAGGAGACGCTTTTCTGTTTCCTTCCTGGGTGGGTACTCCAGGCTTATCATCCACACGATGCATTTATTAATCCATTTTTCCATATGAGGTCTATCAGCAACCTATTGTTTTTAGGATCATTTTGTCCATTTCTATGGACATAGGAGGGCAATATTTCTTGAAACCATTAAACCTGTTTTATCCTGTGCCAGGCTTTCCTTTCTCTGCTCTGTATTTTTCCTTTCCTTATTACATATGAAAGCCATGTTTAAGAAGAAACCCAGATTAGAAAATATCTAAAGGTTACTAAGCTCCAATTCCTGATTTATGATACCTATTATGCTGTGCTAGCAAGCATAAATAAATAAAATAAATTTATTTAGCAGTCTCTCCCATGCATATTCCTTTACAAAAGCTTGCACTGTTCATCTATGATCACAGTGGATATTGCCCACACTCTCTTGATTAATTTCTTACCACCATCAGGACATCACAGCCTCCGCTCTATCCTGCTGCTCAGCATCTTTATTGTGAAAAACAATGTAACCAGCCATTTATGCAGCCATTCTGTAAGAAAACTGCAAGTTCAGTAACTTGGTACTGGAAGTTTCTAGTGCAAAAACACAATCTGTCACGCATGCATTTATTCCTCCACAGGTGAGACACTCTACACTTGCTCTTGCTAAAATTCACCAGGTTCCTCCCTGCCCAGCTCTCCATTCTGTTCAGCACCCACTGAATGGCAGTACAGCCTGCCAGTATGTCAGCCACTCCACCCAGATTTGTATCAGATTTGCCTCAAGCATAATGGGGTCACTGATGAAGATGCTGGACCGAGCATTGACTCCTAAGGAACCCCCCTAGATGTAGCTCTAAACAAGACTGCCCTGCTGACAACAACCCTCTGAGTTCTACCAGTCAGCTAGATGCCAATCCTTTCACCTATCCCACACTTTCTAAGGTTCATAACAAGGATGTCATGGGAGACAGTGGCAAAAGCCTTGCAGAAGTCAAGCTAGACAACATCCACTGCTCTCCCCACACCCACCAAGGCAGCTCAGAGCCTTCCATTGTGAGAATTTATTTGAATATGCCCTGGCTGAGGAGCATTTGAGAGAGATTTTGCTTAGGGGCTAGTGTAGAGAAAGGGCTTCAAGATAGAGTAGGCTCCC